TATTACTAACTGTTAAAAATTGAATTTTTAAAATCATGTCATTTAATTATTATAAATTATTTTAGTATACTTTTTAAAATGGTCTTTGACTATGTAATATTACAAAAATATTTTTATATATAATAAATTGATTATATAATGTATTTTATTATGTATACCAATAATTTAAAAGCAAATAAAATAAATAAAAAATTTTATATTAAAAAATAATATTAATATTTGCTGTTTTATAAGCAGCAATCGTGAAAATGCAAAATATGATTGCAATCTATTTAATGACAAAAATAAAGTATTATTCTAATGTTATAACAAAAAATATTATATTTGAAAATAATATATTATACGACATTTAATGTAAGGTAATATAAGTATAATAAAGTATATAAAACATGCATTATTTAAGCACAAACAATATATAACATTAGAATAATATTGAGTTTTATAAAACTTAATACAAACACCAAAAAGTTAAGGCAAACGGCAACTGAGGCTCTCAACAAAAATGTTGGGTTTATTTCATAACATTATATAAGTGTTTGTAATAGAGTCGGACTTAGAGTTTGTGCGGCAATCCATTCATCAGTGCGTTCACTGCTTGTGTCACAAACAGCTGCTCTCTATTACACATCCAAACGCTCTCTCTCTCTCACACACACACACACACACACACACACAGTATCTCTTGTAGTCTCTCTTAGTCAATGGTCTGGCCATATAGTGGTGTGTGTGTATGTACTGTATGTATGTGCGTATGTGTGTGTTATTTGTGAGTTAATAGGCTGGCCATCAAATCATATATATATAGCATAATATTTGGCTTTCATATCAATGTATTTGATGGTAAAGAAAAAAGCAATGGAAAGCAATAGACGAAACTTAGCATCAATTGATAATCTTTATTGTATTGTATGGACCAGTCATATGCCCAAAGCAGTCCAATATAACCATTGATAACCATTGACTGGTATTTGTCGTGTAATTAAAGTGAGAGACCGTCGGTCACAAACTCGACGGCAACTCAAAAGTCGTATATAATTGTCAGCGCCAGCAGTCATGCCGTCCCTCCAAAACACGACACAACTATTCACTGCTTTTTCTTTTCTCTCTTTTATTTCTCTACTCTTTGTCCCATAAAATCATTACATTTTTATTCAATGTAATAATCAATACATAACATGAATGTAATGCATTGCATATATTTACTATTACTAATCAATTTGCTACCACATTAAGTACAACGTATTTACTGCGAAAAAACAATTTATTAGTTTTTATTGAATTATTTAATAAAAATAAAACATACTAGCTACATTATTAATGTTTTATTATTATAAATTTTCATTTATAAATGTATATTTTTAAAAATAATGTTTAGTGTGAAATAAATATGTTTAGTATTGAGATAGTTTTGAAACACTTTAAAATAAAATGGTGAAACCTTGTAATAAATAATAATTACCTGTATATCAATATATGCTAATTATATGGTTTACATACTTGAAAATAATTTATTTGCAATAAAATAAGTGATAAAAATAACATGAGTTTGAGCATCAAATGTAAGCTTTAAATGTTGGCAACTATTAACTTATAAGTTATAAGCAATAACTTGATTGATAGGCCTTTGAATAAGTTTATGAATGGCAAACATTTAATACCCAATCGTATAGTGAGTATTGAGTAAATGAAAGAATTTTCAAATAATTTGTTGTTCACTATTACTAGTGTTTAGCAGTTATAGTGATTGAGAGGAAAACCATATGATTTAAGTTGTGGGTCGAGTCAAACAAATTACACTATCGGTTCATTGGGTCTGTCTATTAGCTTAATATAAGTTATAAAAAACAAATTAAGTGAAGTAAACCTTTCAATGATTTGTTGTACTAATGATATAATTGAAAAAACAAAAGTCAATTTTATATAACAATAGGGACGGATGATGTAGGCAGTGGTAACTAATGGATGGTCATAATTGTTTAATAAATTGCATAAAATAACAATAAACTTGTATTATAATGAATATTATATTATACTATATTATATAATTTATATGATTGTGAAACACAAAAACAGCCACTCATTTAATATGATTTCATACTATTTGTTGTACCAAACATTTGTGTCACAAAACAATTTCAGATAAATCACAGACACACACACACACACATACATACATACATACATACATACCCACTCACTCACTCACTCACTCACTCACTCACTCACTCACTCACTCACTCACTCACTCACTCACTCACTCACTCACTCACACACACACTCACTCACTCACTCACTCACTCACTCACTCACTCACTCACTCACTCACTCACTCACTCACTCACTCACTCACTCACTCACTCACTCACTCACTCACTCACTCATTCACTCACTCACTCACTCACTCACTCACTCACTCACTCACTCACTCACTCACTCACTCACTCACTCACTCACTCACATTAGATGAATTGGGAGGCAAATAGTTAATTGCCATCAAATAATTGGTTTCTGTAACATAATTAGCAATTTAACGATCGCTTAATTAACTCATCTCTTATTTAGTTTTATGGAAACTCTTTTAAAGCAAAATCATATAAATTTAATAATAACATTGAATCGGAAGTTTTGACATATTTTTAAAACAATATCATTTTGTTTAAAAATTTTTATAATTCATTACTTCACTAATGAGTTATATTTTAAACATTGTAATAAATTTATGACTTGTATATTATAAAATAAAAATATATTGAAAATAATATTTTAAGCATATTTTAATATTTTTGTAGCATTTTATTATATAAATTATAGAACATTTGCATTTTGTATTACAAAACAGTATATTTACAATCAAATAATTTTAATGAATAAATAATTTGAGGATTCAGTGTTTTTAATTTAAATATGTGATTAACAATTATAATTGATGATTTAATATGCGTATACTTTATAAAGATATAATAAATTTATGATATACCGGAGCTATTATTAATTTTTTAGTCATTAGTAGTGTGAAGTTAATTCACATTTAATAATATCCAACAGCAAAGTGAATGGTATTGAACATACAATTTGTATTACAATTTTGTTGTGACACACATTGTCAGCACTTATATTTAATTTTAGATTTACAGGCATATGATGACAGCCGCTGTTGAGATGCCGTTCCTGTTTGGATATGGATGTGATGTCTATGCTTTATAGTGATCCATATAATACAGTTAACTCTCATAATGCAATGTATTTATGAGAGATCTATTGTCATAAATATAAACGCAAACTGTGTTTTTCAGCCAATTTTTTCTTCACAAATATATTGTATCTATGATTTGGTCCATACATTTAGTTTATATGCTTTGTTTTGGTGACATTTGGTCAACGAATCACTTATTCAAGTCATTGGTATTCAAAGCAACAAAACAACACCATATAAGAGATGATTACATTTTTGTCGCAATTGTTAGCTTTCACAACCATTTTTCTCATATTAAAGTAATATAAGTGTTTGAAATTATATATATTTATATAACATTAATTTATCTATATTTTCATTACAAACAAATTTTTAAGTTTAATAACTTTAACAACAAGCGGTTAGAACATAAATATTACTATAATTGATTAAAATTAAAAAAAAATAAAAGTTAAGTAATCAATATTTTATTATAATAACATTATAACATTTTATATAAAAATTGAACTATTTTAATGTTAAATATAATTTTAGTTTTTTATTAAAGTGAAAGTCGAAGCATACAGTATGAGTAAATTTTGTTAAAAAATAATAACATTTTAAACATTATAAGTGAGAGAGTGGCTAAAGGTAGACAACAATTTTGTCGGCGACCTCTTGACCACCAAATTTACTGTTCATTGTATAGAAAGCTATAATTTAATTGTATTTTTTAGTTTATGTTTACTATAATTAGTAGAGGCACTGTTAAAAACATTGAAAAATAAACCAATTAATTGTTAGCCTTTTGACTAAATATTACATACTATAAAATTCTGTAAAATATTGAGTCATTTAATCAATTATTTATTGTTTTAAAAATAACATATCTTTTATCTATTAATTAATAGATGTAATGTAATATAATAACTCTCATTGATGTTTGAGATACAATTTAAATTATATACATAATTATTTTTTTTATTCAAAATTATTAACAACAAATGTAAAATTTTACTTAAGATGAATTAAACTTGAAGTAATTAATAAAAATTAATTATACTATTATATGATTATACGGTTATTAAATGTTTTTTTTCTAAAATAATATTACTATAAATACTGTATATCTTTTTATTGATTTAACAGTTATCATAATTTGATAACAAGTTTTCAAATTAGTCAAAAAAGACAAAATCAAATTAAAAGTTATTTAAATGCCGCTTACAGTGATTGCCATTAATGGAGTATTTAATACGCCAGCCATGGAGGAGGTGTCCAAACAATATCAATAATCTGTGTGCAACCAAATGAATCAAAAGTATACAGTATATCAGTTATGGTAAACATGTATAACTTTAGAGGAACGGCTTTTCAGAACCACAGAGCAGTGTTATAGTAGGTTAGGCCGCACCTCAATAGGCTGTCCAAAGTTGCGTCAAAATACAAGTTTTACCGCACTTTACAAATGTGTTGTATTTTGTCGTAGGATATACTCAATTGAGAAGTGATAGCATATTAAGTTGTGTTAAACTTTTAAATGTTTTCCGAAACAAGTGTTTTGTTAAACAGAAATTAGCTTTTATTAACAAAAAAAACTAATTATTTTATATTCACTAAATATTTGACTAAATAGTGATATCATATAACATAATAATTGCTTTATAATGACTTACATATCAATAATGATGGGACATATCAAGTGAAGTTGTATTCATTTAATCATTTTTTCTATTCAGTTTGAATTGATTGTGAATTGACATATAATATATGAAATAAGTTGATATATATTTAAATTATATTTATATCAAACATAACATTTGAATCAATGGTTAAAAGTAGTTTCTTAGACCCATTACCTCGATCTTCGTCAGCTATTATGCGTCCAAACGGATCAGTTAATAGTAATAAGCCATCAAAGCTGTCATTCAGTATTAGCCGCTTATTGGGTGCAAACAGTGACTCTAATAAATACAATCAAAGCGGACAAACATCTGAAGGTGAATCTGAGTCTTCATCCTCATTGTGCTCTCAATGTCCTCCAACTGAACCCAATGGTACCGGCAATTCATATCCATCGCAATCATCACCGGACACTAAATGTCATCACTCACATCGTGTGTCGGTTACTCAATACGACCCCCTATCAGGACCGGCATCTGTCATACAAGTGCCAGCACACAGACCTCCACCAACTATGCCTTACACAACTCACTACCCCTGGTTAGGACCTACACCTCCTTCATTGATTAAGGATGGCTTACAAAGTATGTCTTTAATTATTATTTATTTATAAAATTGAATTTTAATTAAACAAATATTCTATTGTTAAATATAGCGTTTAAATAACAATTAATTAAATAATTTAACAAAAATTGATGTTTTCATAAGAAATCAAACTTAAATATTGTAGAAGTGATAGTATTAATACAAATAGTATTAATAGTAGTATGCTTTTTAAGTTAGTAATGCTTCACATGTGTTATTGTATAATAAATTATATATTAAGTGATGAAAAACTCATACATTTATAATGTAATTGTAAATTGCAACTGAATATAATCTTAGATATAAAAAGTTAAGAAAAATTAATAAATAAAATAAAACATATAATGGATGCCTAAATAGTAATGTATACCTAATGTATAGCATATTCATTGTTTATTATCCAAACAAATCATTTTTGGTCTCATCTTTTTTTCAAAGCCTCTCCTATTATATGGTTTAACAATTACTTCAATTACTATATGAAAAAAGCACTTAAATTTGTTTATAATATCTAATTTATTGTGTGTTATACAGTATAACTTATACGATACATTCATTTTTGAAGAAAAATTAATTTCAATCACTATATTGTATAACAATGTTATTATATATTGCTTAGGAAACGCCTTCACAATCATTGTTAGAGCTGTCACTGCATTTGTTTGCCTTCCTGTGCTCTTCACTATAATTAATAAGACATGAATTTATATATATATATATATAACACAAATTTAGTTATTAATGATAAAAACAGTAAATTTATTTTAGTAATTATTTAACAGTTATACTCTATAAATATAAAACTACTAATTGAGAAAAAACATTAATTAAACATAAGTTATTTATTGATCTGTTTTTTATACTAACACTTCTTACAATTATTACAAAAAATTTGTTTTAAAGTATGATTTTTATAAATATACAAAATAAATAAAAATATAAATTTGACTTATTGTTAGAAACTAAAAAAACTAAATTATAATTTAGTTTTTGGATTTTTACTTCAAAAAGATAGTATTAAACATAAAAAATAAACAAATACTTAATTTTATAAATAAATTACTAAAAACAAATTTACTACTATATAAATAACCCCTTTACATATTTATAAATATGTATTTAGAAAATTAATTATTTTTAATTAAATTAAATAAAATAACTTATTATTGAATAATTATTTAGTTTTATCATTTCATTTATTGATGTCAAGAACCGCTTAAATATTGTATATAAGATTATAAATTTTATTTATAATTTATGGTTTGTTATTAAATGAATGCATGACTTTATTAGTATGGCCTCAACATTATAAAGCAATATACAGTATAAAACTCTTAATAAATAATTATAAACTATTTTCATCATTTTTCTACTAAAAATAGTGTTTAATGTTTTATTTTTACAAAATATTGTGGTCTCTTAATTATCATAAATATGTTTGTAATTTTGTACTACAAATATTATCATGTTATATACAGAAAAAATTATTAAAAAAGTAATTTTTAAATAATTTAATTAATAGACATATATTATAGAAAAATAGAAAAAATTTATTATTTTTTAAATCAATTAATATATATAATATTTGCTAATAATTGTGAAATATGTGGTTTTTATTTAATTTGTAATTTCTTGATTAAAAATTCATTATTAGATTATTTTATAGCCTAAAGTGTTTATTGAGATAGAAATTAACTTAGGTTATTTGTCAAATAAATATGATATTATTTATATGGGATTAAAAAACAATTTATTTATTTATTATAATCAAATTAAATTATATATATTTTAAGCATAGTAATTGTAGTATTGAAATTAATTTAAGATTTGAATAGTTCTGTATAAATTTATTTTAAATTTATATTTAAAAAATTATATATTCATTTATACAATTATGGTTTCACACAAAAAGATATGAATTATATACCCAACAATAGGTCATATATATAACATACACACATATATATAAAGTGTTAAAAATGATATTAATTTTGTTACATAGATTTATCAGTTAATCCCCAAACGTGTGTCGGTTTTAAGTTACCAAAGATTTATAAGTTTGTCAATTGTGTTCAAATTATTTCCCACACAATCATAACTTTATTGGCTATTTTCACACATTCACACACATAAATAGTGTGATATTAAATATAAAATTATAGTAACAGATACAGAATATAATTGAAAAATGATATACTATTGTAATTAGAAATGTTTTAATATTGCTTATATAATAATGTATTTTCTATTGAGCTTATATAAGACTCTTTGGGAGTGTATTAACAATATGCTAATGTGATTAATGCAGTTTTTATTCACTAATATTTAGAAATTATCAATATCGATAAAATTATTAATTTGTTTTGTTATTGTAGTGTACTGCACAATTTTAAAAATATTGTAAATTAGTGGATAATTTTTTGTTATTTTTCATCTTTCATTTTATGCTAGCAATAATTTTAATAAAAAAAAAACATGAAACAAAAAATAACTAAAAAAATTTTGTCTTATAAATATATATTTATACTTAGAGTATGTATAACTAACACTAAATTTGCCGATAAATAGCCAGACATTGACTACACATAAGCAACAAAATAATAGCCTAAAGTAATGAGTAAATAATTACTGAATGAATCACGAAATCTAAGCAAACAATAGTTGTATTGCTGTTGTATTGAGTTATCGAGTGCTGAAATTTGTTGAAAACATTTGAATAAATTATAACTATTATTATTTTATTTGCCCAAAAAATATTTTTCACAACTGACTAATATATCTTTATTATTGTATGATTATAGCGGCGACCACTATAAGTGGCGATACGTTTGGTATATATAGCTATTCAGGTATTCAAAAACCTATGGGACGATCACTGCTTGAATCGCATTTCCAGTCTCTGGTGGCCTGTCGTACACCTTATTTAACAGGTATGCTATTTCACACATCAATACTTTTATAATTAATTTATACAATAATTTTTATAATAACATATTGAGAGGCGATTATCTGGTATAATGATCTCCAAAATGACAATCAATTTGTTTATGTATTTTAATTTTCATACTGAAAACACTTAATAGCATAATATCGTGCAAAATAAGAGTATTAAACTTTTATATAGGACTCTACAGTATTATTATATAGTGTAGAGTAGATATTGTATCTCTATTACATTTTCCCAAAGTTTAGATATATAGTATTACTCCTAAATAAATCAATGTTATTATTATTTTCAAATACAAAAAACACATACAAAGTGTTGATTGAAAAATGTTAATAATATCGAAAGTTTACTTTAAGTATTGAGAATATTACTTTACATACAGTATAACAAATTTAAATAAGAGTATTGTTTGATGCCCTGTCCACTGTTTGGGACATAAGTGTGTATATTTAGGGTGACCACCAGCACAAGTACCCGTACATAAGGGCACATGCATTGTATAAATAACATTATAAAGTGGTTTTATGTCATTCAATACACAAGCGATACATAAACATTCAGACCTTTTTGTTATGTAGTTAACAGTCATTTTTAGAGACAGTCCATACATACCATTCCTCTCAATGTCTATAAGCCTTCTTAGCATTTGTCGCTCTACTCCTGAAAACAGTTGTGAACTATAATTACAGAGTTATTGTTGAGAACCAGCTTTTTATTGATAAAAATAAACAGATCTAATACCCGGCTAATAGAGGATTTGCTACCACTCTTTCATTGCTGTCTTAATTGAATCTTTTGTTAACAGCTATTCAATAATAGCAGTATATAATAGTTTTGTATATGTATTGAAAACCAGGGATATTATATACCGTAAGCAATATTTATATTTGTATATACTATACATAGTGTGTGTGTGTGTGTGTGTGTGTGTGTGTGTGTGTGTGTGTGTGTGTGTGTGTGTGTGTGTGTGTGTGTGTGTACTCTATATTAAGTTATAATATGATATTATAGCACTTTAAGTATGAGATGAGTAACATATTGATAAATCTGCAGCTGAAAAGTAAATCAGCTCTAAATTGCATTTTTATAACAAGTAATTCATAAAAAAAAGTTTGCTTTTATTTGCCACTATATTTTAATCATAAAAAACTAATCGACAATAAATTATTTTCAGATAGAAATTAATGAATGTTTTTGTTATGCATTATATACTTATTTATTCTTCATTAAAAGCGATTACAATATTATGAAAATATAGTTAAAATAGTGTACATAAAAATGACAAACACATTGTTATGATATTTTGTCTAATTATAGGGTCAAATGCAAGTGCAACATCACAATTAACTAATGTTATCAACAGTAATAATATGTTATCTAATGGTCTGCCCGGTCAAGTCAACCATCACCCGCACCCACATCATCACCCATTAGGTCTTCATTTTGCGACATCATTTCCCTGGGCGGCAGCGGCCAGAGGTAAGCCCAGGAGAGGTATGATGAGGAGAGCCGTCTTCTCGGATGCCCAACGACAAGGACTAGAGAAGCGCTTTCAGATACAAAAGTATATCAGTAAACCTGACCGCAAAAAATTAGCCGAAAAGCTGGGACTTAAAGACTCTCAGGTAAGAGATCTTATCAATCGTTACCCATAATAATAATACTCTCTCTCTCTCTCCCCTATAATAACTCATATGTTTATATACAATGTTTTACAATGTGATCACTGATTACTATATAGTATATACAGTATATAATATAAAGTTGTTTGCACTCTAATTATAAGTTTGTTCAACGATTTTTCTCCACTATTATGACATGTAATAATTATGTGTATATTATATGAGAGCAATTGCTCGCTCCTCAACATATTGTATTGTATATACTGTATAGTACTATATGTATATACAGTATATATATATATATATATATACTGTATATTATAGTTGTTTTTTGCTTTTCATTGTTTGGACAAAATTTCTTATTGTTTTTCAACTATTTTTCTTTTCAAACACAATATTCAAATAAATTTTGTGATCAGCAGTTAATCACAAGCTATTTATGACTTAAATGTCTGTATTTATTAATAAATATTATACATAATAATAATAATAATATTTTATATATATTATTAAATATTTTATAAATGATAATTTATATTAGTATAATAATTTTTGTTTTTAGTAAATTAATTTTAGCTAACTTTATTTTTAGAATTTTTTAGTATATATATATATATTATATATATATTGTATAAATTATATTATAATAAATATGCATAATATTGAAGCATAATATCGATAAAAACTAATTAATTACTTAATAGCTAAAAGTATTATAAAAGTTGATGACTATCTTATTATTAGTTAAGAATGGAATATATTAACATTTTTGTTGTTCATAATAGTTAATAATTTTATGTTAAATTGAATAATTTTTATTTGATTTTTGTTAGATATTTATAAATGCATACTTTCTAACAAAAAGGGATCGGTAGTCGAGTTAATTATCACAAGTAATCACAATATTTAAAACAATGGCTAACAAATCATATATATTTTGAAACACACACACATTATATATAAAACTTTATACTTAAATAAAATATATATAAAGTACATGTACTTAGTTTTTATCACTTTATATTATCAAACGTAATGCTTAGGTATATGATATAGTGGTGTACAGTATATGCCATAAGCGATAAATTTGGAGAAATGGTTAACTCGTTGTTGTCATAGTTGGTGTTGTTGTCCGTCTTCTTCATCTTCAACAGCTGTTGTCTTAACATTGGTTTTTCCAAACGTTTGATTGTGTTTTTGAGTCGACAATCAAATTGAATGCTAACTCAAGAAGAAGAGTGTGCGGAGCGATAAAACTCTGAAATATATTTATATATAAGTATTGTTTGATATATTAATATAAGATTATACGGTATGAATGGCATCTCCAGTATATGTATTCAATACTATTGATAGTTTAGTTATAAAGTTTCAAATGAATACATAACTGTGTGATAAAAAGTCACATCATATGAATAAAACCATTTTAAGTGACTTTTTTCACAGACATTTTATTCAAAATGTTTTATAATTTAAATGTTTAGCTAAAATATATTTAGATGTCATTTATTCACTGAATTGATTATATGGTTATATAAATCTAAAATAAAATGTATCAAATATTTTGCACATCAATTCATTTGATATTTTATTTTATTATTATTTTTATAGATGTAATATTTTGTATAAATTTAAAATTTTTTATTATTAACTAAATTTATTATTTGGTATGAAATTATTATATGTTTATTATAAATATTCTATATTATTTAAATAATATTATATAACTTTATCATATTTAAATATAATAATATTTTCAAATTAAGATATTATTTTAATCAAGTTTTCATTGTACAAAACTTTATATACTTTATTGAATATAACTGAAATTTACATACAGTGCCCGCAATATGTGACATATTTTGTTATTATACATTATATGATAATATAATATAATAATAAACTTATAAATATTGATATATGTATGAATGCATAAAAATATAGTGAATTAGTAGCGATATATCAAAATGATATTTTATGAGCGAATCTTTGAATAACCAGTGATGCAAACAATTTTTATATCATATCATTTTATTTTTTAAATAATAAATGATTATTTATGCTTTAAATAAATATTATTATTAAATATAAAGTATTATATTTTTACATTTGTGATACTTTTCTTGTATTTATTGAATAATGAATATACAATATGATTAAGATTTAATATTATGATGTAATATATCTGTTAATATATTGTTTTTACATTTTCAATAATTTTAATATTATTAATATTAAATTTTAATTATAATTAAGATGCTATACAATATGATTTAGCTATAATGCCAATATAATTAATATATATAAATTTAACAGTATTTAATATATTAAAAAATTATTATTAGAATAATATTAAACTATTTAACCATTAGATTATAATAATACTTATAAATTACTTCATATTACATGTAATTTATTTTACTAAAATTTCAACATAATAATTGTTTTTTGTTTAATTTGTTGAAACAAATGTATTTTTAACAAAAAGCTAGTAAATAAAAAACAATTGTTTTAATTAGAGTATGTGTTTTGAGAAAACAAGCAATTGTTTCTATTTATCAGATTTACAGCACTTAGATATCATAATTATTACATTTGATGTGATATTATAATATATAGCATTTGATAAAATATAGTAAAAATCATTTATACAATTCCACAAACCTATCATTTTATTTTTTGATTATATGTTTTTATATAAATTCATTAAACGTGATATTAAAAGATGTTTTGTAAACATTCTATAATTTTTATTATTATCTAATATAATATTAACCCTTCGGTTATATTTTCATATAACCAAATAATTTATATTTATAAGTAATGTAAGGCATAGGAAATGCAATAAGATTTAATATTAATTATCAAAATGTAATAAATAATTCATTGCTATAAATTATATTTATATTTTAGTTATTAAGATTTTTAAAAAAAATATTATCAACTGAAATGAAACAAAAATTAAATGCTAATTAGTAAAACAAATATAAAATTATAAAAATAAATTATAGTTTAGTTATTTTAAATCAATTATTTTTGTATTGACTATTAATTATAAATATGTTTTAGATAATATTAATAAATAATACTTTTATTCATATAAAACAATTAAACAATGCAAAAGTACTAAAAAAATATTTTGTATTAATTAAATTCAATACATTTTCATATATCATAATTGTTTTTCATTGATTGTATTTGTTATAAATATAATTATCTCATATTAAATTTATTTTTTAAATTTTTGTTTTACTATTAGAAATCAATTGAATAATGACTTATTGTTTGATGCAATTCATATGATTGATGTTGATATATATCGTTAACCTTCGCTTATAATAATATATGTATTCATTATTTTATATTTTATGATTACTGTAATATTTTACTCAAAATAAATATAGTTTTTAGCAAAAATAAAAAATTTATAGTTAGTAATTATTTGTTATGCTTATAAAATGTATTTAATAGAATAAAATTTTTTAATTAATTAATTAATTCAAATAATAAACTATTAACTTTGAAAATAATCTGTTTTATCAAAAGCTGTTTATAAAATAAAACAAAACTAAATAACTGCTGACACAGAAGTAATTGTTTTCCTTAAAAATCTGTTATTATAAATAATGTTTTTATTGTTGTAAATAATAATTTTACTATTTTTCTCATTTTTATCATAACTAAAACTATTTTATTTTATTAGTAATATATTTTTTTAACTAAATTTGAGGTTATCAATTGTTGTATGCTATTAAATTATGATCCATTTTTATCTTATATTTAGATTAAACTTATTAATTATAAATTTTAAATATAAAATGTTTTATTATTTAAAGATTTCATATTTTTACATAATTTATATAATTTAAAAGTTATAATTAATCAGAATAGCATAATATAAATTTTATAATATTTTTAAAATATAGACAAATAAAGTAATGTACAATACCATAACCTAACCTAGTACAAATTTATGAATAGTATTTATAGATAACTTTAGTCCTAATAATTATATTATTATTAAAGTACTGTATATTAGAGAATACTATTTTTAATTAACAAAAATATAAGAATTTACTTAAAAACAATATAAGAATCTATAATAAATTTGTTATTAATAAAAATAATGTTATTTGTTATGTTGATAATACTTGCTATAGTCTTATGTTAACAATAATGCATACAATTTAGTGTTAAAGGAAACCAATATTTACTTTTAAATCATGATTTGTAGCATAAATGGTAATCAAAAATATGATATAATATTTTTCTTGTTTGAAAAGAGAGAATAAAAAGATTGGTTAGTATTGAGACCACTTTCCGTCAGCTGTGACTTAAAGTGCTTATCATTTAAGCTTTGAAATACTGTTGAAAACATGTAGTGTATGGGCCATCACTAGCATCTCATGCATCACCAACAGCTCAACCATATTTACCATCTCTCTCTCTCTCTCTCTCTCTCTCTCTCTCTCTCTCTCTCTCTCTCTCTCTCTCTCTCTCTCTTTATTTATTTGCAAACTCGCAATAAATGTGATCACATAAGGAAAGAGTAGATTTGAGCAAAATTCTGATGCTTTGTGATCATCATTACATGTATTACAGGCAATGCTTTCAAAATATGGTTTAAAGATTGAAAGCAATACAAAAGGCATTTCAATACATAAATGGCATCACAAGTACTAACAATATATATATATTTTATAAATTCAATGCCTATAATCTATATGTCTATTGACCAACAATGACGAGACAACCGCATCACTAAAACTTTCAATTGTTTTATATTTTCTTATTTATATCTTATAAAGTGGCGTCGCTTTTATAATTGCATTTCAATATATAAAAAATAATAACTAAAAAATACTTTATAAATTTTATAAAATAAATATCACAGATTATAATTATTTGTATTATAATCAGATAATTACTAATTTATAAACATTTGATTTTAATATTAATGATAATAATAATAAGTTTATAAAATACTATTATATTTTTAGTTTGAGATTAAATTCCCGCTTTTGAAAATAAAAATTTGATTTTATATCAATGTTTACATTAGATTTTAATAAAGTTGAAAAAATGTAAAGAAAAACATTTGAAAACTTAATTCTGATGAAAATGGATACGCAACTGACGGGTATATATATAATAATATATATATAGACAGTGAGGCACAGTATGTCGATATATGTTATGGTAGAGTATGTCAGCTGCTACCTAATGGCCCGGTTCACACTGATATCCCCTTTACAAGCAATTTGTTTGCCAACTCATACATAATATGCCAATGGAGTTATAGTACAAATTATACTTAAATTGCCATTTTATATGTAATTTTTGAGATACAAACAACTTTTATATTATTTGGTACATACGTTGAAATGGGTTGCCATTGTTTGCTGTGAATATCAAATGAGTACTTATAAGGAATAAAAATGTTTTCACTTATTTTTATGTTTTGATTATTTTTCTGAGTCATAAAATTGATTACAACATTGATGTCTAAATTCATACAACAATTTACACATATTTTTATATATTCTTTAGGAATATTCTGTATAAAAAACATTAAACATATCAACGATATGTTATTCGTATAATATAAGACTTGATTTTATTATTTATGAATATTTAATATAAATTTTTATTTGTTGATATTTAGGTAAAGATATGGTTTCAAAATCGACGCATGAAATGGCGTAACTCTAAAGAAAGGGAACTGTTGTCTTCGGGCGGCACTCGGGAACAGACATTACCCACAAAAAACAATCCAAATCCAGGTATATATTGTTGCAACAAATGCTATGCTATGGGATTCCATCATATTTTGTATAATATATCGCTTATGTATTATTTAAATCAGATTTAAGTGATCCGATTACCACACCTGTCACGACCTCATCCTCACGTTATACTAACGGAAGTACTACTTTGACTACGACATCAAATAACAATAGTGTGGATAAAGAGTCTCAACAGATACCACACAATAACTTTTCATCTGTAATGTCGTTATCTAATTATGATATGAATGTCAATCGATTACAGCTATCAGTTGACAATCAGATCAATACTGACGACGAGTCTGACGATGAAGAAGAAGAAGACGATAGCGATATTGAGATCAATGTTAACGACGATTAATAAGCTCTCCTTAAGTGGTAATCTATAAAATGTACAAATTATTGATATTATAGTTTTATTAACATATTATATGTGTGTATATTATATGACTGTAATTCTACAAACAAAATATTTAAGTATAATATAAATAACTTATCAAAAAATATAGTTTTGATTGATTGTCTCAATTGTTTAATCATTTTTAGACTTAAAATAACATGTTTGATGATATAATTATATACAAACAAACAGTTTATATAATTGATGACATTTATTTAGTAATCAATATTAACATTTATTCATGTCATTAATTTACATTTATTGTATATAAACTTTAATATAAAACACTTATTTATAGATTAAACAAAAATATTGAATTAAATTCTTATAAATTGATGAATTAAATGATTAAAAATATTGTACAATACGTGTATAATAGCAATAGATTTATTAAAATTTATGAATATTTTTTTGTTAAATTATGTTTTAAACCATTATAAATGTCATAAATAGTAATAACAAAAGTTAAGTTTTGTTTGTAAATTTAATTTTAAAAATTATAAATAATAATACTTTATTGTAAAACATATCATAATAACAACATTAAAATAAATAAAAATTGAGAAATTGTTTTTTGATACAAATTAAATCAATAAATTAAATATAAATATCAGACAAACAGATCTATTAATAGCACAAAATTAATTGCCAAATGTTTATATTATTATTATATAAATAAGAAAAAACAGATTACTATTATATTATGTTTGAAATTACATTGTTTGGCATTAATTACACTCACAAATAATATGTAGTAAAATATTTGTTTGATTTTATTCATGAGCTGATTAAGTGATCTCATATTTGTGTAGAAAACAATATATAATAAAAATACTAATTATTTTATTCATTAAAAAATAAAATACATTAAATTTTATAAATACAATTAATGACTTATTATTAAACGAATTATATGATAAAATAAACTAAAATTTCAATATATCTGCAGCATATTTTTATTTAAAAATATATTATTAAATATTATAAATTAAACTAATGTATAAATATTTTATATTTGTTTTTATATTAGTCGTACTAAGCATGCTATGACTATTAGTACTGTAATTTTTAATTATTATTTATTTTAACTAAATTTTAATATTTAAGTATCATAATTTATTTCAGGGTTAAGCGCTGGTGGTAGGGGGGGGGATATGGCCGGCTTATATAAAATAGTTAAAATTTAGTTTTAAAAATTAAAATTAATCTAAATATAACATTATTTTAATAAAAATTTGTAAATGAAATTTTTTAAAATGAACTATATTTTTAAAAATTTGTTAATTATGTTATTGATAAAATATTATTTTTACATAATTAATATAATATTAATAAATTAGACTGTTTTATACATATTTAAACATTGGAAAATTAACTATAACTGTATGCTTACTATACAAATACTATTGTAATTTTAAAATATGTTTCGGAAATTTGTCAAATTAACTATATTTATCAATGAATTCATCAAAGTTTATAGATTTTATTATATTATACATTGATTTTTATCGGCGTTTTAGATAAAAACTAAAAATTTAAAAAATGAAAATAATCATAATAATAATGAAAATACTATATTAATGTATTTATAATAATTTTTAAATTTTCACGAACTCCTGAAAGGAGTACGAATCTGAATTTTATATGTCCTTTCGTCCGCATTTGATTGAAATTTTAAATTTTGACTTCAGATTTTGATTAAACATAAAAAATAAGGATTAGTATAATTTTTTTATATCTTTAGGAACATATATTTAAAATGGCGGCCAAAGTATAAAACATTTCAAATTTAATGTCTATAGTTTAATTTGAAATACTGAGTCATTTGATACCCTAAATGACTAAAGTTGTTTATTTATATTAAATCATTTGATACCTCACATGACTAAAGTTGACTTTATTTTGTCATACAATCATTTGATTTTAATTTAATTTTTAATTAAATTGGATTAGGAGTTCGTATGGAAATGCTTTCTAACATTCTCAACTGGTTCATTATTAATGCTAAAATATTTATTATTTTTAAAAATAAAAATAAATTTATAATTTTGAAAAAATTGCCGTTTAAAATGTAATAAAATTCGACACCCAATACATCACAGGATTTTTTGAGATTTTTGTCAGTTGACCCTCCAGTACCCCCCCTAGACTAACAAAACTTTTTTAACCCTGAATTTATTTATAGAAATTAAAACAATAGTATTATATGTTTTTCATTGTCTAATAACTTGCTTTTTAATTAAATAATTATTTTATTAGATAACGATACTGTCCATCAAAAAAGATAATCAAATTACTTGATTTAATAACATATACATTAAAAATAAGTTAAAATACTATAATAAAAGATAAAATGACTAAATATAAAAACACGTAAATGCAAATTAAAATAATACTACATAAATATAGTACTCATTTTTATTAAAATATAATTTTATAAATTAAAAATTATTTCAAAATTATTGATATTTATAAAAACAAACAAAAAATCTATAATTTACATAAACGGTAAGTTCAATAAATACAGTTCATTATCAATATTTATACTTATATGAATTTATAATAAACAAGTTTATTTGTTTTATACTTAAAAATAATAATAACTAAATTTTAAAAAAAAAATTAATAAACTATAAGCATACTCTTATAATAATATATTAATAATAAATACCGTTTAAAGCAAAAGTAAAAAATAAAGTATTTTTTTATAAATTATTTTTTATCGAAACTTATTTATGGTTAAATTACTTTTAAAGCATTACTAATGCAAATAATAATACAGTATAATTGCATTTTAACCCAAAGAAAATATCAAATATATGTAAACTTTAAAAATATACTTTAAGTTATTTGCCGTAATATTGTTTTATATTTTCTTATAATCAATGTTTAGTACTATTTTTTAAACAAATCTATCTTATTATTACTACTAATATTATTATCGTTAAATTATATTATTTTTATTACATTGAACTTTATTTAAATAATCTATTTATAAATTATATTTCCTTGAGTGTACATTAAAAGAAATGAAATTTTCTTTATGTATCTCATCTAAAAACCCATTTAAACTGATAATAATGTTAACAAAAAGTTTAAATTATTATATTATTCTAAAAAAAATTGAAAAATTATTTTTAAATAAAATATAGCTCTATATCATATAATTAGTTGCAATAATAATAATAATAACGATAACAATATGGTAAGCAATTTGATAGGAAATAATATATTGATTTGAATATAGTGGTGATGACTAAGTAATGCTATGATTTACATGTTATTCATCTGTGGCTTTCATATATCACAAGAAAATATTTATATAAATATATATTAAAGTAATATCAAACACAAAGTGAAGTTAATATTGAGAGATATGTATAAATGGTTGGAAAGAGTGGATCACATCATTAGATGTTAAGTGCAATGAAAGGCACACTTCATATAAGTAATAAAAGGCAAACTAACAAACTATTTATGAGACTAACTTACTATAGGACTGGTCTCTCATTGAGCTCACTGTTATATAACAGTGAAGCACATCATATAGAGCACAGTTAGTAACAGCTGTATTATGTGTGATCACATTATTAATAGCAATAAACGATGTTTTAATGCATAGCATAAATGAAAGGGGAAAGGGGTGCAAATGAATTGCCCACCAAAATATGCGTTAAGCGCTCATATATTTATACATATAATACATACAATTTATATAACATATTCACTTATGTTGGCTAATGATCTCCAATAAGAACCATTAAACATCACTAACAGGCACAGCATCCATACCATACCATATCATACCCTAACCAGTGCACTGTACCCAACCTAACAGTGCACACAACTCCTTCTCTTTTTCATAGTTAATATATTCAGGTATATTAGAAACGACTTTACAGTACACTCCACACAAATTTTATCATTTTCTATGCTTTCTCTGCTTAAAAGTCTATATGCCTGACAAATACATGTGTGTAGGCATTGCAGAAACGGCACAACCGACTGATGCATACATTTGTGTAACAAATCTTAATAATTATTATATAAATTATATGTATATATATGTACAATATTCCGTATATATATATATATATTTCTATACATTTATTTATATATCAATTCTATGATTAGACTCTTTCTCCTGTTTTTCTTTTTTTCTTAATTATATTATAATAAAAATGATAACAAAATAAATGTATAGTTTTTTATTATCGTTTTATTTTCTAATAAAAATAAAATAATTGCTATTAATTTAATAATATAGTTAAAAAATATTTTGTAATAAAAAGTTCTATATTTTATAAGATATAATAAAATTTATTTAATAAAAAACAATAATTTCAGTCCCGACTCCACCTGTTTCTCCCAAAATACATGATTTCATGCAAAACATAGTATTTACTTATTTTTTGCTGAATATTATTTTATTAAAAAATTATTTCTACTATATAAACATTTATAAACAATTTTTATATTAAAATATGCATTAATATATTATTAAGACATCAATGCGATTATATAATGTTATAATAAAATAGCAATATCTGCTATATTAAAGCTAAAAACCGGTGCATTTTATAAAAATAATTTGTGTATTAAAAATTAATATTAGTGTTGTGTTTGTTAATTATCATGAATTTTGCACACCCTATAAGCAACATATTAAATAGCTTAACAATATTGCTGTAACTTAGAGGTTATGCAAATTATATATTATTTTGCTTAATATACAGTAAGTTATATCACATTGTATAGCATATATAGTATAATAGAAAAGTTTATATACTGTTTTGCAAAATATTATATTACAGCAGTACATCATAATATAAAAATTTAATAAAAAAATATTGTGCTTCAAATGATTATTTGATATTATTAATAATTAATAATAAAGTGAACGATATGTCGTTAATGTAAATTTATAAATACTTAAATTTTAATCATATTTGATATCGATA